AAACAGTATTTGTGTAGTATTAACGAGTGCATTTAATAAAATTATTATCGTTTGCTAATCTTACTATTTAAATAGATTAAGATAAAAACAAATACCTATTATAATTATCTTTTTTATTTGTGTGTAATAAATACTTATCGAATTTTATTATAAAGTAGGTAATGTCCGTATGATAAAACCTTATATTAATTACATTAATAGTTTTTATTTTATATATTTCAAATTTATAATCAGATAACGGGAATATACACAAAAGTTAGCGCCAATTAAGTGACGATAAAAAACAATTTGAGCAACTGTGTTAATTTTTAGGTAATTTCAAAACCTCTGTCACTTGATTGAGTAAAGAGAAATGATGAGTATAATTTACCTTTATCACTTACTAATTACTATTCATTTTAACTTACACAAGCGTGGTAACTTAAGGAACTAAACATCTTTCAAAGAAAGTGTTCCATAAAGGTTCCATAAAACTTCAATAGATGGGGTTAGTTGACCCGAATTTTAAGGAAACTAAAGTATTTGTTATTAGGCTTGCTTTGTACTGACCTGTCTCTTTAAATTAGTTTATTGATTGTGCAGTAATTAATCAGATACGTAGTAGAAATTTTATAATTGAGAAAAGTTGAGACTGTATTTATTGTAGACATACTTTTCTAGATAAATCTAAGAACAATATAATGTATCTAACTGTAACTGCCAGCGTATACTCATCATATCTTTTACGAACACACGCCATTTTTCTGTCAATTGAAACATATGTATTTACTGACCGCCTAATGGCAGCCATTTGTATTTTCACAGCACCAATATTAGGTTATTGTTTTTTTTATATTACATCGGAAATCTCGAGAATGTTATCTATCGTAATGATAAAACAAAAAACAACTTACATATATCTATCTACCTATTATATATAAAACGTGTTACAGATATACACACAATATCTACACGTGCCATTTTGTTTTATGTATCTATCTATTCTTTTCGTTTTTGTGCATAAATATTAGTGAGCCAGAATAATTAGCGAAGACCAATCGATAAATGAACTTATGTTCAATGAATTTAGATTTAAATCCGGTTGCATTATGTTATGATAATTTTATCTTTTATATTACATAGAATCATGTTTATCGAACATTTAATTTGTTTTAAGGAGGGAATAGGGAGCAATAATTATTGCACAATGTTGAGGGATGAGACCAAAAGGAACAAAGAAACATAGGAATTCGAATCAGTAAAGATTAGCCTTAATCTATGCTGTAAAAATTACTGCTGAAAGTAAACATTAACTTTAAATAAATATGCGACTTTACTATTTTACAGTACTGTCTCGTTGGCCGAGTGGTCGCAAGTGTGACTATCAGGCAAGGGGTCTCGGGTTCGATTCCCTGGTCGTGCAAAGTATTAGTGGGTTATACAAAATCTTAGTAGTAGCACGGAGTCTGGAAATGTGCCCGGTATATGGCAATAGGCTCACCCCCTATTACATGGGACTCATAACATAAATAGTGAAAAGTGGGTGTTACATTGTACAGTGGCATTAATTGCCGTAGTTTGCACCTCTGCCTACCCCTTAGGGGTAAAAAGGCGTGATGTTATATGTATTTTACAGTAATAGTTACGTCACTCATACTCGGGCTAAGGAACTTAAGTTTCAACCATAACAAAGATGATGGGAAATAATAACGTTTCTAATATAATTCTTTTATAAACAACGTTTAGAAATACCGACTCCAAGCCCCTCTCTTTTTTGAAGTTGGTTCATTAATATATTAAAACCTCCTCCTAAGTGTAACAAGCACTTTTCTGAAAACTGTTTCAAAATCAGTTCAGCTAATGGTGTACAAACATACATACAGATCAAACTGATAACCTTCTTGTTGAAGTCGGTTAAAAATTTTGATTTGAAGATCTATTTATTAGTAGATTAATCTTCATCATCAACAGCCTATAGGTTAGGTACCCACTGCTGAGCAAAGCCTTTTCTCTAGCTGTTTTGAGCAATAATCACAAGTGTCAAAATTTACGTCAATTCCATATAATTTGGTGTTCTATTCTATATAACAACGTAGACAAGCGCTAAATGACATTTGGCTACACCTGCCGCACCCTCATGAATGATTATTTTTGCATTTTCAGATTTCTCTTATATATAAAGTAATATGGACACTGGACAGTCCTGTTAGAGATCAAATATTTCTGTTCGTTGTCTATTCAGTGATACGAACTTCCATTATAATAGGGATTTATGATTTGTGTGTTTTTATGGCATTCAATAAAGGTTTGGTATTGTCAAAGTCAAAGTCAAAGTCAAAACATTTATTTCAATTAAACCATAGTTTGGTACTTTTGAAACGTCAACAAATACAAAATAAATAATAGTCTGTCAGTCAGTCCGTCAGTGAAACTAGGTGAAGCTAGGTGTTCATTCCAAAAAGTAGATTCGAATGGAGAAGAACGAGCAAGAAACTCCATTCGTTACTCTATTAAAAAAAGTATGTTCTACAATGTCTCTGATACATATGTACCTGAGGTATATGTACATGTATTGCATCTTAAACTGTCAAAAACCGCGAGGACACCGGTGACCGCAACCTATTGTTCTTTAATTGTGTCTATAATGACGGTACTCAAAGGGTTAAAAAACTGACTTCATGTTGACGTTATACAGACTTCCAAATTATTGAGACTACTCAAATGATTGGGTAACTCCATCTTCAGTTATGTCAAGTGGATTGCGGTACTATATTATCAATGTTGATAACCTATCAATATTGGTATGTGCCGCTCTATACGTTTATCACAATAATCTATGAGACGGAGCCAGGAAGATAAATTAATACCTACATATACTTTTTGTAAGAATTGGCTCAAAATATGACATGAAAGTAAATGGTGTTGGTTTTATATGTACACTTTTCAAGAATAAAGGTTAAGTGTTTGACGGGGATCTCGACTAATTTTTAACCATATTCATGAGCAGCATTCCGCGATAGAAGACGCAGCGACTGTCGCGCTATAACTCTCGCGTGTTGAGTAAGCCGAAAAGCATAATTATTCATTAAGACTGCCTTGTTGGCCGAGTGGTCGCAAGAGCGACTGCCGGGTAAGGGGTCTCGGGTTCGATTCTCGGGTCGGGCAAAGTATTATTGGGTTTTAGAAAATCTTAGTAGTAGCACGGAGTCTGAAATTGTGCCCGTTATATGGCAATAGGCTCACCCCCAATTACATGGGACTCATAACATAAATAGTGAAAAGTGGGTATTACATTGTACAGTGGCATAATGTGCACCTCTGCCTACCCCTTCGGGTATAAAAGGTGTGAGGTTATTTTAATTTAGTATGTTTCACAAAAGCTATAACATAAACAAGAATAAGGGTGTAGATCCGAAACTTGACAAGTGAAGTTGTATCAAGTTATATTTTCTATGTTTTCATATTTGGAAATAACTAAACCTATCATACGGTGAAGTAAAACATCGTGAGGAAATCTTGACTTATAATTTGCTAATACGCCTTTAGCGAGCACCTTGTTGAGGATGTGCTCATCCTTCTCCCTACGAGAAGACCAGGAACAGCTTTTTCTAATAATGGTACAATTGATCACTCAACTCAACTGCCTCGTTGGCCGAGAGGTCGTAAGTGCGACTGCCGGGCAAGGGGTCTCGGGTTATCTGTTATCTGTCGACCCCCTATTACATGGGACTCATAACATAAATAGTGAAAAGTGGGTGTTACATTGTACAGTGGTATAATGTGCACCTCTGCCTACCCCTTCGGGGATAAAAAGGCGTGATGATGTTATGGTACAATTGAAAGCTCATCAACTTCCTGATGATGATGACTAAGTGGGAATATTTTATACAAGTCGTTTATACAACACGATACGATATGATACGATACACAATACGTTTATACAAGGTCGCCAACGTCAACCTATCGAGTAAAAAATAATAATAATGACAAAATAATAATAATGAAAAAATAATAATACCTAATGAAAAAATAATAATAATGAAAAAAGAAAATTATAAGGCATCAAAGAAAATATTTTCCTCATCGATACCGTGAGGTAGGGTGCCCAAAAGACTGGCAGCATTGCCACGTTGAATGGCAATGCTTAACCTTTGCCCAAGGTAGTAGCCAGCCCTTCGATCACCTGAAGTGTCAACCATCCTCCTTACAATATCTTTGTAAAGAAGATGTGCACTTGGGCCCCACGGCCCTAAAGTTTCAACCCCAAACGGTTCGAAAGCATAATTGCCAATCAGGCTATTATACTTTCGCCGTTTGAGGTTCTCGGCAGCGGCAGCGGCAGCACCGGCTCGACACGCTGAGCTTGGAAGATGGGATGGCGCCAGAGTATCAACGCAAGTGGCGTCCCATACTAAAGCCCTACCCATCTTCCAAGGGAATAATGACATACCGTCGGGTCTCTTGCCATCGTCGCGTACCAAGCCATTAGGTTCTAAAGTAGCTGGCACGCCAACGGAGGCAAGAGCTCGACGAATTATGTCATTAATACTTGCGTGTCGAGCAAAACGGCCCGCACTACGGCTACATGACAAGCCGTGGTGTCCAAGGCTGTTGACAACTTCACCACAACGACAACGATGAGGTGAACAAAATTATAGATTTAGTTAGTAGTTTATCCCTTATGATATAAGAAAAATAAGCCTATATTTAGTAAGTCTTAGTACTTAATTACCTTCAACTTAAGTGACATTATATATGAGCAAATGTTCAAGGAATCCTTAACTTAGAGCTATGTGAAGTCATATTTTAGATATCACTATCTTCTCATTTATCAATGATCTGCCAGGAAATTCCAATGTGTTTATTGGATGTTTATATCGTTCAGAATATTTACTATTGTGGCTATTACTTCTAGAAAGGCTACAAATTTTTAGCATTAAGATTCCTCCTACTGAAGATTACTCTTTCTCATTTAGAAAATAAACTATTTTTAATTTATTCTATTTTCTTCTCTTACAGAAATGTATTTACTGACACTACTTGCCCTTATCGGGTCGGCGTTCGCCGTACCCTTGACAGAATTGTCGGAACAGAGCCATGCTGAAAGATACGTTCTACCCAAAACTGTGTTGCCATCATTCTACGACGTCGTTCTCTTCCTGGACCCCGACAATGAAGCATACTTCGAAGGATCAGTTGACATCAGGGTCATTCCCCTAGTTGCAACCAATGAAATAGTTCTACATGCTATGGAGATGACAATCGACCCATCTAATATTGAAGTGTTCACTGATACCCAACCTTCAAACAATTTATTCAGTTCACACACATTGGCTTCTGATGACACACATTTACTCAAGATTCAGTTGAGAGAAACAGTACCAGCTGCTCGTGTACACACCATAAGGATCAAAAACTTCAGAGGCCAATACGCAAGTAATATGTTTGGTATTTATGTGTCCACATACGCAAATGCCGCAGGTCAGACGGAGTAAGTATTTTTCTCAGCTATTTTAGTTTTATACATACACTGAAATGTAGGTTATTATTTAGTACAACCATTTTAGATTATTTATTTCATAAACCTGCCATTTGTTTTCTTTTGGCCAAAAATTTTAAGTACAATATGTCTTCAGTAAGACGGTTTTTCGAAATGGTACACAAATGCATATTACACAAGTACAATGTAAAAGTCTTTCACGCTAAAACAGATTTATACAAAGAAAACATAATAAAAGTTCGTGTAGAGAGTATCTTATACATAATGCATTATTCACATTTCTTCAAAGTCTCTGTTTTCATAAATAATACAGAGTGTGTCAAATATCTTGTTATAGAACTGAGATTACAAGGTTATGCAATAGAAGTATAAAGTAATATAAAAATAAGACGTGTTTCCACTTTTCATTTCGTAAAAAAAGAGCCACTCCAAATATAGAACATTGATAATTAATAATGATTTGGTTTACAGAAAACTCATTACATCACAACTGCAGCCTACTTTTGCCCGCCGTGCGTTCCCATGCTTCGACGAGCCTTTCTTCAAGGCCAGGTTCAGGACTACCATTTACACCCGACCCAGTTACACCGTGGTTGAGAGTAACATGCCCTTGAGGCCTGCTGATAATTTGTTGAAGTAAGTATGCCTATAAAAACAAAAAAAAAATTCTAAGTTTAATAATTATAATACAATGTCGATATATATAAGTAGTACTTTCTTATGTTCAGTGTTAGTGTTTTATTTTATACAGGCATGTACATGATAAGCTCCAATCACGTCATGTTATTTTTGCAGAGAAGCAGTTCAGGGATGGGATAAACATGAGTTCCAAGACACCCCAGTGATGTCCACATACCTACTGGCGTACCTTGTCTCGAACTTCCAATCAGTTAGCAACGCTAACGCACCCATCTTCAACGTGCCATTCAAAATTTGGTCCAGGCCTGGTACTCAGACTTCTGCAGCATTTGCCCTGGAATTCGGTCAGCAGAACATGAACAAGCTAGAAGAATACGTTGAGTTCAAATATGATTTCCCTAAACTGGACAAAGCCGCTGTTCCTGACTTTGCTGCTGGTGCCATGGAGAATTGGGGACTGGTCATTTACAGGTATATATATGCTGACTAGACTTATCCGAATGACAAAGTTAACGTAGATTGTATTATATTTATTCCCTTTCGTGTTTTTTAACAAATCTTAATATTTTTTCGATTTTAGAGAAGTGGCTCTTCTGGTGACTCCGGGAGTGACAACCACCGCTGCAATGCAAAATGTTGGTAGAATCATCTGCCACGAGAATGTTCACCAATGGTTCGGTAATGAAGTCAGCCCTGTCTCTTGGACTTACACCTGGCTCAACGAGGGCTTCGCTAACTTCTTTGAAAACTTCGCTACTGATTTGGTATATATCTTATGTTATTTTGTTTGTTTAATTTCGACCTCTATTGTAACTCGGCATGTACTATGCATATCTAATTTTTATGAACATCATTGCTAAAAGTTACATTTCTTGCTTTGCTTGTGGGAAACGCTATAAGTCACCAACGTATTTGTAATATTTGCGCTTTATGTTTCCTTAGGTGAGACCTGATTGGCGTATGATGGATCAGTTCGTCCTGGCTCTCCAGAACGTTTTGCAGTCTGACGCTGTCCTCAATGTGAACCCCATGACCCACCCTGTCTACTCACCATCTGAAATCATTTCAACTTTCAATGCTGTGGCCTATCAGAAATGTAAGTAAAGTAAACTGTACTATTTTGCATAATATTTGTTGTAATATTGCCAACAGTACCAGCGTCGTGTGACTGCCGGGCAAGGGGTCTCGGGTTCGATTCCCGGGTCGGGCAAAGTATTTGCGGGTGTTTTTTTTTAATTCTCAGTAGTAGTCCGTATCAGTAGTTCTCAGTAGTACAGTGAGTCTGGTATTTTGCCCGGTATATGGCAATAGGCTCACCTCCTATTACATGGGTGAGACTCATAACATAAATAGTGAAAAGTGGGTGTTACATTGTACAGTGGTATAATGTACACCTCTGCCAAGCAAAGCCTGCACAAGAGGTATCTTGGGGGATAAAAGGAATGATGTTATGTTATGTTACCAGCGTCGTCATGTATTGTTTCTGAGGTTGAACTATTGGGGTTTTCGATTTTAATAAATCAATACATTTTCTCTTTTACATCTAAGATAAATATTTGTGTCAAGTCTTCAACGAAAGTGGATGCGAGTCAATCGCATTAGAATTATTTGGGCCACGAAACTAACTTGTTATATGCAATGCAAAGAACTGAGAAACGATTCGTGTTAGTCACACCAAATATAACTGTTTTATTGTAGGTCCTATTTTAGTTTAAAATTCGAAATTGAAGCACAATGTTTAACAATAAATTTAATTTTTGATGAACATCAATTTACTACATATTTATATTTACGAATCTGGAAAAGAAAACATTACATTGTGACTTTGTTCTCGCACAATCGAACCAATAAAACTATGTAATAACTAGACAATTATATTGTAAACTTTATTGAAAAAAAGTAACCTATGCAGTTTCTTACTCGTTCTTCTCTATAGGGCTCATTAGGGCAATTTGCTCGTATGGTATGAGCAAATTGCTTCACTTTTAATCTTTTTTTTTTGACGTTCAGTAATGCCTTCCTGATCTAATTGACTTTTTTGCCTTTTGAAAACATTATAGTGTCCACTAATCATAATGATGTATAAATAAAAATCTTCTTCTTGATGGCCCCCGCGTGGTTTATTTTTTGCAAAACGAAAAAGTCTCTTATCAGGATTGAGAAACTGATACAGTTTGCTATCACCCACTATCACTTGCTCGCTATCTCGACTGACATGTGAAATGACTTTTGTTACAACATTTTAGGCTATAATGCTATCTAGTATCGACTTCTTATCATATCCCAATATCTGTATTTGCTCGAGAACGTTTTAAATTGCGTTTTTGTATAACCACTCGTGGTTGTGACGTCATACCAGCCGTTGCTTACTGATGAAACTCCTTTTGCTTTTTTTTCCGATAGATTTGTTAATGATTATGTAATCTGAGACTTTGTGGAATAGGACTTACCTATCCTCTTTATTTTAATAACTAAATCATATTCTGAGTAAAAAAAAAACATTTGCTTGATTGCCGGACGCTTCAGATTTAGTCGTAAACCCATGGTAGTAATCGTTCAGAGTACATTATGCGCTTAGATATTCAAAATACTATATTTACGGCATTACACTTAACATGGTGACTTAAATATTTTTGTACGATAATAACGATAAAGTTAAAACTAGCCTCGTTGGCCAAGTGGTAGCAAGTGCGACTGTCGAGCAAGGGTTCGATTCCCGGGTCGGACAAAGTATATATATATATTTTTAATTCTATGTAGTAGCACGGAGTCTGGAATTGTGCCCGATATATGACAATAGGCTCACCCCCTATTACATGGGACTCATAACATAAACAGTGAAAATTGGGTGTTACATCGTACAGTGGTTACATTAAGTGCCGTAATGCGCACCTCAGCCTACCCTACTACCCTACAGCCATGAGGCCGATTTCGTAATCAGTCTAGCCATTAATTATTTCACTTGACTGATGCATAATTTTATCTTACAGCTGGTTCCGTGATTCGTATGATGCAGCATTTCCTTACACCAGAAGTATTCCGCAAGGGATTAGCCATCTATATCAAAAAACAGTAAGTTACACAAAATACAAATTTCTTTAAACAAATCTGCCTTGTGTGGTCTACTAGTGACAAGTGATGGCTGAGAAAGGTATATTACAGTTAGTTCCCGGGCCGGGTAAAATTTGTGTCCGGTATATGGGACTTATAACATAAGTGGTGAAAAATGTGTATAAATTGTATATTTGGTATTATGAGCTCTCTGTGCATGTGCACTCTGCTTACCCCTTTAGGTCCCTAAAAAAGCTGTTCCAGTATAAAAAATGTTGTCTTTGGAAAGTCAAAATAGTAACGTGATTATATTATTATGTACTAACGAACCTGGCAGATACTTTCGTTTTATGATTAGTGAATTTTCTTTGCTATAAACCTCATGGCGCCCGAGACCTTTCCAACGAATGCAAATCTGTGGAAATCGGTTCGTGCGTTCTGGAGTTATAGCGTCAGGAAGGAAAACCCGACTTATTTTTGTATAGTAGATAATATACGTGTTTATTTATTATTTCTAGTTCTCGAGAAGCAGTCGTCCCCTCTCAACTGTACACTGCTCTCCAACAAGCTTTGGATGAGTCTGAACATTCTATTCCTTTCCCCTTAATCGAAGTGATGTCTCGATGGGTATACCAGGGTGGTTTCCCAGTCCTGACCGTTACACGAAGTGCTGCAACTGCTCAGTCAATCGTTGTGGCACAGGTATGGACCCTTATAATTCTTCATATTTAAAGCAATCATAATTGACACATAGGTACTATCGAAACGCCAAAATAGTATTGTCTATCAGCCCGCTTGATAACTTTATTTAATGAAGACGTTACTGTTAATTTGCATTAAAATATAACCGGGGCCGCCGACAACTTTCCTGGTTATCGCTGCTCTGGCTCGAATCAGGAGTAAGAAGGGGTGGTTTTAGTCAGTAAGAGTCTCACGCTCCTTCTGGCTTCACCCTGAGCAAGAGAAACCATTTAATAATTTTTCCTAAATAATATTGTTTATTGGAAATATATTTTTTCAAGTAGCAATATAACGATACTTCATAGGATAATTCTACAGAATCGGAGAATACTCTAAAGAAGACTGAGGCTAGATTTTTATAAAAAAAATGTACTGCATCAGAAGTATAAAAATTCACGATCCTATTATGTAATACATTTCTTGTAGAGTAACAAAAGTATGCAGTTGTCGTAAAACATAAGTAGCAATGCAGTAGAGTATTAATCTGTGCCGTGCTGATTATGCAAGGCTTTGTTTCATCCAACTATATTACGAATAACGAGTTAGGTGTCACTAGAAACGCAGTGAATTTACTTTATCATACTTTTTGCTACGGAAAGATAAAAATATGGTATCTTATGTCTTTTAGCGTCATCCAAAAATATACCTACATAATTAATTTTATTCTAATATAAATATGATATGCACTTTCCTAAAGAATTTATTTCTATAATACAGATGCATAGTAGTTTTTCATTATGGAAATTTCATATCCGATGCTTTGTCGTGAATGCGTCTATATCAAGAAAACTTTTGTCTTATTTTAACACAATGTTTATTTCCCTAGGAACGTTACCTCACAGACAATAAGCTGACATCTCCAGACCGCTGGCACGTACCCATCAACTGGGTCCTGTCCACAAACCCTGATTTCTCAGACACCAAGCCACAAGGGTGGGTACGTCCCACCTTCCCTGCACTCTCCTACGACATTCCCGGCCTGGCACAAGCTAGTTGGTACATCCTCAACAAACAGCAGACTGGTAAGGACTTCAGAATTATTCATGTAATAATAACGACTCTTCTTAGTCAGATAAACATTCGTTTATTTTTTTTAAAACGTTGCCCCACACTAGGATTATCTCCTGTGTCGTGGGTGCGTTTACAAACATACAAGTTCACATACACATGACACCCAGACCCGAAACAACAATTTGTGGATCACACAAAGTGTTGTTCCGTGCGGGAATCGAACCCGCGACAGGTTGCCAAGCCACCGCACCAACCATGCAGTCAGTTATTGATACAATCATTTCTGTATTTTAGGTTACTATAGAGTGAACTACGAAACTTCGAACTGGGTTGCGTTGGCGACCGCATTGGATATCGACCACAATGTAATCCATGTTCTGAACCGTGCCAATCTCTTGGACGACGCTTTCAACCTGGCCAGAAATGGACGTCTCGTAAGTAAATTTAGTAAACTTTACTAAATCAAAACGAACAACCGTATAACAAAGGTCGTTAGGATCTATTTCGTTTATTTTGACTTCAATCAGTGAAGTCGACGATGTGAGCCCGTTACGAATTTCATAGACCAACTGCAATAAGTTGAACACACTATAAAAAATATAAAGGATCATTTGACAAAATATCTCATAAAATTTGTCAAATACCTACACATATTTTAATGATGAATCCCAAATAGAAAAGCCTATTAAAATGGCATTCTTCTTTTTTAAATTACTCTGAGCGCACACAAAAGGTATTTCAATTCGCGGTAATAATTGGAGTGGAATAAAACAGGATTGTGGTCTGTAATATTAACTGCCGGTTTGAACAGAATAGTAACGAGATTCTGGCTCAGCTTCACTGGAACTTGTGCTATACAAATTGTATGAGACTCAGAGCACTGACCAAGTTTTATGAGAAAGTATGCCTACATTGCGTCTTTTGTTCGTGGATTAGCTGTTGTGTAGATTTTTGAATGTTCTTTCATAAATTCATTCTGTAAAATATTTTCTTTTTCTTTCTATCGCTCTTGCTTGTGGATCTTATGTAAGTATAGCAGTGGTTTAATTAATATTACTTAGGTACTTATTTAGAAAGTTATTTTCAATTTTTTAGAATGAATTTTTACAAGCAGAAGTAGAGAAAATATTTAAACGAATTCAAGGACTAAAAGAAAATGTTCTTCCACATAGTTTATGTGTTCAAAAGAAATATATTTTGATAATTAACACTTTTCTATTTTATTTTTTCAGAATTATCAAGTTGCCCTAAGCTTATCCAGGTACTTGGTCAAGGAGGAAGACTACATTCCATGGGGTGCCATCAATCCTTCAATCACTTACCTCGACTCAGTCCTCAGTGGATCAAGCATTTACAATTTATTCCAAGTAAGTAGTATGCTTTCACATCTCCAATTAACCTGTATGATGGACAAAACGTTACCTTGTTAATACAGTTAAATATCAGATCTTGGATATTATTTAAAGTGTGATCAGGGTACGTAACTATATTATCATGATATTATTACTACATTTCAAAATTCTCGATATTTTAGCGTTTGTTTGTAGACTTGTTCAGTTTCACAATGATGTTGATTGATAAATAAATCATAAATAATAAATGTCACGTCAATGGCTTTAGCAAAACCTTGTTGTGAATATTATAAAGGGGCCTTAGGTTGACTGAAGGAATACGGAGCCGCGGAAGACTTAACGGGTTGCCGGGGCTCCGGCTCGAAGTGCAGGAGTAGGAACGGGGTGGTTTTTAGTCAGTAAGAGTCTGACACTCCCTCCCGCCTCACCCGGGCGGGATAAGTCATTGGATGATTATACCCCCTCAAAAAAAAAAAAGTTTAACTGAAGGAATAATTTTCTTTACTTACTTACCTTACTGTCTTATTTGCAGCAATACATTCTCCAACTGACAGCTCCAATGTATGAGAAACTTGGATTCATAGCAGGTAATCAAGAAGAACACGTAACTCCGTACCATAGGAATATCATTTTGGACCTGAACTGCCGTTACGGTAATTCTGACTGCACCAATACTGCTCAGAGTCTACTCGAAACCTTCAAGGATAATCCAAGTGAGTTGACACGTGATATAATTATTTTCGTCATAACTTTTCAAGGTTGAATTATGTAACTTATTGTATATGTAACATAAATATTGACACGCAAACATTTATTTTGCCAAACAGATGAGCCCCTCAACTCTGACATTCAGAATCTGGTGTACTGTGCTGGTCTTCGTGGAGGCAGCGAAGAGAACTTCAACTTCCTTTGGACCAGATACTTGAACAGCCAAGACCACAGCGAGCAGTCTATTCTTCTGAATGCTCTTGGATGCACCTCTAATGCGGAACGTCGTTCATTGTAAGTTGTTTACTAATTTAAAAAACAATACAATCTAAAGTAGATAACATGCTTCATACACGCTGCTTTTTAACTGCATAAAATGGTTTATTTCATATTTTTCCTTTCTCTCCAATCAATGTGGCAACCTACATTGTATTTGTATATCCCAATAATCGTAATACAAATAGACGGCTAGATGAAATAAAGATAGCCCATTCCTTTCATAACTGGAATCAATATAATCTTTAAAATTTATCAGCAGATATTATAAAATCTCTTGATACGATTGGCAAACTAAATAACTTGACAGTTACTTTTGGTAATTCGGATACCGATTTTAGAGTTATTTTATTCGTCCCATAATTTATAATGCACGAGAAAACCCTACAGTAATTTTAATATCTCATAATAATCCAAATCCCAAAAAAAAAATTATTAAAATAAAAAAGAAACGACACAGCTAAACATTACATATGAATCATCAGTGACCGTAATCTTAAACTTGATGTTGCTACTAAAGACTTCTGTTATGACAAATAACTTACCTTTAACACATAATTTTTTTACCAGCTACCTGAACCAAGTTATCAGTGACTCATCTCCTGTAAGAGAACAGGATAGACACACAATCTTGGTGTCTGTCACCAACGCCAGTCCCGAGAACACAGAGGCTGCTCTTGACTTCGTCGTTGAGCACTTCGCGGCCATCCAACCAAGGTATATACTGTCATAGTATAAATATTTCTGTACAATTCTATCTCTGGAACGTTGATTTAATAACTGGGTAAAGATTACTGCATTAGTTAATATGGATGAACATATAGATAATAATTGAGAACAGGTAAAGTCCTAGATTTCAGATAACCGAATAATCGTTATGAGTATGTCCTACTGTTTTATTTTTCATTTAAAGAATATAGTGTTTCTACAAAAGCCATATGTTTACAGAGTACAAGGTTTGACTGGTACCACGAACATCCTGAACGCATTCGCCAGAAGACTTACAACTCCAGAACATTCGAACAAGGTAAATTTTCTGATTCCTTTCGAGAAATTCATTCAAATGTTGATTTAGTACAATTAAATAACTTCTGCTACAATGTTTGTTTGCCCTTTCTAGATCGATGAGCTACACAGTCGCCATCAAGCCATTTTCACCGCCGGAGAGTTGGCTTCAATCGCTGGAATCAGAGAAAATATCGCTGCCTCTATTACTTGGAATAATGAATACGCAGCAATTGTCGAGGACTGGTTCCAGGACAACTTTGGCGGCGATGATGGCAGCGGCGAAGACCCTGATGATGGCAGCGGCGAAGACCCTGATGATGGCAGCGGTGAGGATTCCCCTGATAGTGCTCCCGCCCTAGTATCAGGCCTTGTAATCTTAATTTCGTTCGTAGTATCATTTTTCAATCACTAATAAAATAAGTTGTACTAATTATAATTTATCTACGTTTGGCTTAGTTTCTACATTCCTTTTTATACGAACGTAACATTAAATGAACAATACATTAATGTTCTGATTAAGGCTCTCTGTAAAATGTTTGAATGGCGATATAGATCCATCTACAATCTACGTGCAACAGAAAGATAACATTTATTTAAATACATACAAATACTACTACGGCAATATTAATGTCACATTAATGCTAAATGAAATCGGACGGTTAATGTTACAATATAATTACATTTACCAAGGAAATGCTCAATTAAAATACTAATACCTTTCAAAGGACAGCTGATGATAAAGCTATTAATAAAGTAAAATATGTAAGACTGTTATATTCAAAGGAAAAAATATTGTAACTGTTGAAAATATTTCCATTATTATTGTTTATAATAAGTGTACAAATAAAATAAGATATTGTTTACAGTAAATACCTATTTATAAAAATACTTGGATTTTTATTTCATAGAAATATCTATTTGAAACTATATAACTATAAGTACCAACAACATACAGTGAAAAAATTACAATGAAACAACCCAACGCAGCCGCTCAACGGCTGTGAGGTCATGGTATCACTCTGGTCGAGCCGGTCCGTCCATTCACTTCATGTATTTGTGATGAATGATGAATGATTTGTGAATGAATTTGTTGTGGTTTTTGTCTTATGGTCCATGTTGCTATTTCCAACCACAATTAAACAAAAGCTCTTTAATATTTCGCCATCCAACATTCAACTACTGCATTTTGATTGCACTCAATTACACTCACATCGTTTTCTTATGCATCATAGGTAATTCCAAATTATCAAAGTACTTGAAACCGTCAGAACGGCTCTGAATCATCTGAATAAAGTAATCTAACCATCCATTGCCCAATTCAATTGAAAATTTATTGTTCACTATGATGCGACATTTTTTTTTACATTTGAAGTGCAAATTATGGGAGCAGCTGTGTTATGTTTTTACTTCAATTTATTAAAAACTATTTGTAATGTAATTATAATATAATTACTTATTTTACTAATTGCGTGTTTTGTATGAAGATTGCTTTTTATTTCGTTTGTTTCAACAATTATGTAGGTTTTTCCTGTTTGTGTCTGTTTATGCGTTTTCATAATATATTGATATACAAAAAATCACTAAATACTAAAACTTATTTTTAACCTCGTAGTATAAATTAGCTCAGTGTGTTTAGGTGCACATATATGTGCCCTATTACATTGATACTATTTTGTGTGTAGTATGCTAAGTAAAGAAACAAATTATAGCCATAAAGGAATTTTGTGTATTCTAAATAAATAAATATAGGTTTGTATCAAAAACTAGAGTGCTGATATATTGGTCACTCGATAGTAAAATGATAACTAATCTTGAAATACAGTGTACACACTTTATCTTCTCAGTGCCTTTACTGCTCAGAGAGTACTTTAAGAAAAATCTGGTCAGTTATTTATAGGTCAAAAGTTACCATCTAGTGTTGTCAAAATGGGTCTATTTAGATTCGTGTTATTAATAACTATAGTGTCAGTTACATGTAAACCTGTTGATTTAAATATTGTTCAGACTGAAGAATTCAATGAGTTAGTACTTGAACCAGAAAGTAAAAATGTGATTAATGTTACTGAAGGCACATCAAATGAAGTTACGAGTTTAGGTATGCGGAATCAGGTACGTCCTGGAATGGAAGTATTGAGCTATGCTATTGAAATAAACGCTGATGTTAATGCTGGCTCGTTCAATGGAAGAGCGATCATCCAAGTACGATTTAGCGATGAAAGTACAAGAGAAGATGCAATTATATTACACGTTGCTGATTTGAATATAAACAGAGTGCAGTACGCCATTATGGGTGGCAGTAATCTGGTTGATGCTGACTACTCTACGGATGATGATGACCAAATAATAGAAATAGAACCTGGACAAATTGCTTTACTATACACACTATACATTGAATATTCTGGATCTTTGGATAGGGCTGGTAAAGGATTGTACAGAGGAAGCTATGGAGATAAGTAAGTGCTTTATATAGTTTTTTTTTTTCATTCTGTATTTAGTCTAAGACGTGCATTACTTCAAAACTATCAGTTTTCTTAAATATAATTAACTGATCCCACTACCACGATTAAATCACCTTAATAATTAGCTGATTAGGCAATCACTCCTTAAGCAAGACATGATGTGACTTTTTCGAGCTAGGCTTATGCTGCACTACGGCTTTTTCCCACCTTCTTTTAACCACCACCGCCATCGTGAAATCGTTGAGGTGCACACATTATGACTATAGACCGCAAAACTGCTCGCGATATTTTCAACCTAAAAGTACTAACAATAACGCCTTTTTTCATCAACCTCTCTTAAATTTTAAGGTACACTTAAGCTTAGATAAGTTATATTAACGTCAATTTGGCTTTTATCTACCTGCAAGTCACACATAACAGTACAAGTAAGGGGTTAGTTCGGTTGTCACCACTGCGAGGACCGCCCTGAGGACACGGTGAAGCATATAGTAGCGGAATGCCCTGCGTGGGCTGAGCACCGCCGTGCCCTCAGGGACGTGATCATCGATGACGACCTCTCGCGTCCGGGCCTAATGCGGGTCATGAGGCGTAGCGAGGGGGGGGATTGGGATGCCGTCTCCTCCTTTTGAGAAGCAGTCATGCTAGCGAAGGAGGTGGCGGGGCGCGTGAAGCAATGAAGCGCTGCCTCCTCACAAATAAGCCATCGCGAATGACACTTCGAGGGTCGGGGATCGCAGGACGATCTCCGGCCACCGTAAGCGCGGGCCTGCGGACGGCGAGCATGGGTGACTCGCCGCCCGACCAGAACCAGACCCGAATATACCGCGCGTCGCGTTCCGCACGCGCCTCAAAGAGCCATCAGACCACCATGGATGGGGTCCAATAGGGCTGATGCCGATTCAGAGCCGCAGAAAACTTAACGGGTTACCGGGGCTCCGGCTTGAAGTACAGGAGTAGGAACGGGGTGGTTTTTAGTCAGTAAGAATCTGATACCGAAATACCTCTCCCGCCTCACTCAGGTATTTCGGTACCTCCCATCCTTTATAAAAAATTAAAAATTAACAAAAAGGGGTTAGTTTAGATACTACGATACACTTAGGTATCTGATTGAAATGACAGTTTAAAGGAGATTGGAGTAAACGACAATTTTTTTTCTTAAAACAACATTGCCCCGCATTACGTTTTCTCCTATGTCGTGGGTGCGTTTACAAACATACAAGTTGACACACAGTATTAATGAACTATGGCCGCTTATATTTTGTTTCTTATTTCATAAAATTACGTGGTTCAAAATTTCACGACAATGAGTAGTTGTGCTTTGTCGCTTTTAAATAGTTTGTCGTCGGAATCATTAGAAAATATAAAACTTATAGAGACCGTGCGTGTGAGATTATGATTTTATATTCAAGTTTATTTTTTTTTTTATTTAGAATTTAATCTTACACTTCTTATTGTTCTCTTCATATTCAATTTTTATTGTTTAGTCCTTTAAACACTATTTCGGTCTACTCTTAAATTATACTTTGGGTTTGTATTATTCGTCAGATTTGTTAAAAATATATGAAGCACATACATACACTAATGAATATTGTACCATATGTGATTGTGATCTTATTTACTGTTATTTTGATGGATCTCAGTTATCTGAATAAATTAATTTTTATTACAATAACTTACTTTTGATTTACGAATAGTAGTTAAAATTGGTAACTTATAATAAGCATAATTATCCGAATCGTCGAAGTTTATAATGATAATGATTTGGATGATAAACATAAGCTCGATTTTTACCACTTCTTGACATAAGACTCATCAATAAAAACAAGAATTTCTGGAATTGAATGCTCATTGCTAGAAAAACTTGTCCAAGCCAATTGACTTAGTAACTATTTTGTTATCGTTATAAGATGACGTAATTCTTTTATGAACTACGTTTAAAAAACAGACTTCAACGCCCACTTTTTTAACATACATGCATAACTTAATGCCCGTCTCTCATGGGGTAGGCAGAGACTATGGCACGCTAATTGCTATGACTCCTTTCTTAAACTGTCAAACACCAAGCGGTCACCGGTGACCGCAACCTATTGTTCTTTAATTGTGTCTATAAATACGGTACTCGACGAGTTAAGTAGGGTGATTATTTATTATGATGGACAATGTATTTAATTAGTTAGATGCTTCATGCTGTTTATGCAAAAAAACTCGCTACTATAAGACTGGTGGCAATAGCGACGTCAATCAGTTATTTGGTGATTTCATTATGTAATGAGGCTTCGCACAATATTCTGACATACATCTTCACTGAATGCATTATCTCAATACAAGTATCTTAGCAACAAATCGATACAACCTTGATAAGTTTAAATTTCCAATGAAACCCGTATTCTATCTTCATTGTTTATCGTATTAAACCTAGTCGAGACATTATCGAGATCATCTCGTATCTCTTGAATCATTTATATGATTAAAATGTATTTTTTCTTAAAGCCATTTCCCTTAAGACTGTAAAACGAAACGACGCATGGACGTGTTAGCAGCAAAGTGAAGGGCCATTTTAAACTCCATCAAAATGGTTTGGTCCAAGTTCAAGTGGAAGTGTATCTTCTTTACTTATATAATCTTGTTCAACGTTTTTACAAAATCACTGCCTCTCATTAATTCACCGTCTTTATTAAAATCTAACACCGAATCAGAAAATGTTGATACAAATTTTGCCAAAAATACTGCGGATGAATTAGTTGAAAATTATAGTGATATATTGGGTGAACATAACATTGTGTCTGGCGGTGATTTGACTGTGAACGCAACCCGAAGTGCTTTATTCAGAAATATTAGACCAGGTCAAACTGTACGTTCGTATGCAGTAGAAATAACAGTCAATGGAAATTCATTCAATGGACGAGCTGTACTGGATGTTCTATTAACCGCAGCTACTAGAGAAGATTCTATCATTCTCCATGTTGAAGATTTAAATATTAATTCTGTTAGAGCTGGAGTTTTAGGTGGTTCAAATTTGCAAGATGTCGACTATGATGTTGATGATGGAGAACTTGAAATCTCTCCAGATAGTGTAGCTTCTATATATTCGATTATTATAGAGTACAGTGGACAACTATCAAATACTGGACGTGGCCTTTATTTAGGAGGAAACGACCAAATGTAATGTATTTTTTTAATTTTCATTATCTATAGTTTTAATAGATACAGTTTTTTGAAAAATTAAATCAATTTTAATTTTTTTTTAATCAATACTTTAATAATGCTTTAAAGTATTTTTTGGTAGTAGATGTTAATAAATCCTTCTGTGTTTTAATTTATTTTGGTCTGTAATTCAGTTTTCCGAATATGTATTTTAATTGACGAAACACTATTAGTTATTAAGTATTTTAATTCTGAAAATTTGATATTTGTATTGAAATTTAGTTTTCCGAATATGTATTTTAATTGAGGAAACACTATTAGTTATTAAGTATTTTAATTCTGAAAATTTGATATTTGTATTGAAATTTTTTTTTTCCCAATTTAATCTTGATTTATTAAACTAATGAAAGACAGATCTTTCAACTAGAGCTTGAGATATGAAGATTTTTGCATTTGTGGTCTTTTCTAATATCAAAAATCATATAACTATAATAATATTTTCGACTGCCTCGTTGGCCGAGTGGTCGCAATTGCGACTGCCGAGCAAGGGGTCTCGGGTTCGATTCCCGGGTTGGGCAAAGTATTACTGGGTTTTTAAAAAATTCTCAGTAGTAGCACGGAGTCTGGAACTGTGCCCAGTATATGGCAATAGGCTCACCCCTTATTACATGGGACTCATAACATAAATAGTGAAAAGTGGGTGTTACATTGTACAGTGGTATAATGTGCACCTCTGCCTACCCCTTTGAGGATAAAGGGCGTGATGTTATGTTATGTAATATTTTCGTATGGGCATGGTGCCTTGCGTAGCGCCTAGTTCCTTGTGAGTCACCTCACGACTAGTTTTCTAGGACATACAGCGGATGGAATGAGAGATCATTCCTTTTTTAAAAAATGTCGACACGTTGTGCAACAGCCAGTCGTCCAGCCACTGCAACAACCGTGCATTACTAATATTTCAAGCATTTTTCAATTATCAAAAGTTTATTGCTCCTAAGTTACCTCGCATCTATGATTAGCAAGGCAACTAGCTAATTTTTTTCGTGAACCTATAACGATTTGGAATTCTGGGACTATGTTTTTTATTGTGTTTTAAACAATTTTACTTCATTTCAGCTAAATGGGAATCTCTGTAGTTCCACGTATTTTTTGCTCTAATTTAATCTGACTAATAGTAACTTGATACGATGAAAAATTAATTAAAAACAACTTATTAAAAAAAACATATAATATTTGTGTACATAAGTATGAAATAAAAGCATATTAATTATTTTCAGTAACTATTTGGCAATGAATCTACATCCAACATACGCGAGACGTGTGTTTCCATGCATGGACGAGCCTACAGAAGCATCTATAATCTCCTTCTCATTTGAGGGTCTGGATTACAATCATCTAACATCAAACTCTATGCTAGAAGAAAACAGCCAGTAAGTTTATCAAAAGTTTCAATTTATCATACGGTTACTGTTAAAAAACCTTCCGGGTAATGCAGTGAAATCTTGACCGGTGAAAGACCTCTTGAAAATTAAAATACCCTTTGAATTAATCTATTCCAGGACACATTTTCGAGCATTGGTAGGTCCACCACACCTTTGGGGTATGATTGCGCACAACTTTGTAACTGTGAACTTGCCGACTGCCAACGTTTTGCTATTTTCAAGACCTGGAATTTCTAGCCAAGATTCACACGCCTCCGTAGCCATAAACTCGTTCTTCAATCATTTAAATGAATGGACCCAAAAGCCTTACCTCGAAGTGATAGAGAATCAAGATGGCCGAATGAACATAATGGTGCTACCTGATGTATCCACAGACTGGAACTCACTCTCTACAGTCGGTATTTGGTGGGTATTTGAGTTCTTTAATTTGATGCTTTATATCCTTAATAAAAATTCAATTTTTATTCATACTGCAATGGTCGGTTTTTGGGCCTGTGGTAATTTAATTTTGTCTCGTGAAGCGGTCTCTCCATGCTACTTGCCACTGGTATATTACTGACTTTGACTCAAGTCCAAAATTAAATAACTTTCGTGATTAAAATCAAAATTAGTGGTCGGTTAAATTTGTTTTGAAATGATTTAAACAGGGAACCGTATGTGTTCATGGAACAAAATCATGCAGTGAAACAGAGGGTGATAGGTCTGACTAAAATAGCAGAAGCTATGTCGAGGCAATGGTTCGGATATGTGATCTATCCGGAAAACTGGAGGTACGAATGGGTCGTCGCAGGATTCACCACATACTCGGCGTATGAAATGATGAGACTGGTAAGAAGTTCCATACAGAAGTTGACACTTCTATAAGTGTATAATATATTTACATAAGATTACAATATATTGGTTTACGATAATAGTGGTATGTTTCTATAAGCGAGCAAAATGGGCCAACTCGCTCGGTGAGGCTCCACTTTCACAGAATATTGATGTGAAGTAATGACGTAATATCTTCTTGCCTGATAAGTAACCTTATGACATTTAGAACATTAGCAAACCAACTTGTTAAGACGAAGTTTGTTCTTTTCATTATTATTTTAAAGTTTTAAGGTTTTTTAGGATTTGTTTATTGGTTACAGTTCCAGGGCGACAACATTGCCAATGATGTAAATTGGCTAGACGTTAATACATTATTCGTAACTGAAGTTATACAAGAAAGTTTGCTACGCGATGCCTACATCAACTCCAATCCATTGGAACCTGCGGATAATCTTTTTGATGAAGATGCAATAAGGGATCATGTAAATGGACTCGTCAAGTTAAAGAGTGCTGCGGTCATGAGAATGATCAGGCTTGTACTCGGTGACGCCGATACCGACTTCATTCAGATAGCAGCGAGAGCACTCCTTAATGTACGGTAAGTATATAAGTATGGAGGGATCAGTAAAATCAAACTAATTCATAAATATGTAATACTAGCTTGTGCCCGGGACTTCGTACGTGCAATCCCGTTTTTTTCCGGTTTCCGTAGGATTTTCTGTCTTAAGAACTTTCTCCTAATTATAACAAATACAATTAAAAAGAATTAGAGAAATCGGTCTAGCCATTCACGCGTGATACCGTGACCAAGGGAAAACGGGATTCATATTTATATGTGTATATCCCTTTATATTTATAATTCTGCTGTAGGTACGTGTGTATGTCATTGAACTCTTCATAAACGGCTTGACCGATTTAAATGATTTATTCTGTATACGTTTGAGTGGCGCCCTGGATAGTTCAGATTAACAAATCAGTCCGGCAGATGGCGCTGCAGTCAGTGGCTAGGTTATTTATCTATACTGCAACTAAACGACTAGACTGATTTGAATGTTTCTTTTTTGTTTGTCAACGTCTGTCGGGTCCGCTAATGTAGGTATAAAACTTACAAGTCTGAGACTCTTATTAATCATCCTGGTTAGGAATCTCAGTGCGACTTTAAAAGTAATGGAGCTTTTACTCTCGATCTATTTTATGATATTTCTAATTATATTAATGCCTGTTTTTTTCAGATCTCTAGAAACTATTAATACATTGAAATTCATAGATGGAATAAACAGTGAATTAGTAAACAGTAATGTTGGTGACTTTGATGAATATTTAGAACCATGGGTTGAAAGCAACGGGTATCCTCTTCTACGAGTTGAAAGCACGTTTAGCGGAGTATTGCTGCATCAGGTAATTAAATCTTTATTTTTTCTTCATATGCATATTTTCACTAAAGGCTCGACAGCATCTAGATTACGTTAGGAAAGATTAATAGTCTGGTCCTGGTAAATATACAAGAGTCGCACTTGAAGAACCAAAGAGAATATTGTTGAGTTGATAGAAGATATGGATAGATGCGCTTCATTGAAGTGTTATGGAGTTATCAGAAGTTCGAATAGAGAGCGAGGACAGGATAAACCTTAAACGTCGGCACCCTATTCTTCTACTGGGACGGCAACAGACTATCGGTGTATTTATAATAACATTTACTTTTGTTATTTACTCGTATTTTTAAATAGTGAACTTATATCAACTGATGATGATTTTAAGGCACTTATTCTTAATCAGTCATTTACCATCAGTTTTAATGTTATTGTTTTTTGTCTTTCAGACCCCATTTGGTTTCACAAACAGAGATTCTCCAAGCCGTCTGTTACCAATAACCTACACAACGAGTATAGAAAAGAACTTCGATAACATTCATCCGCAGTTTATGTTAGATATAAATCATAACTTAAACGTCTTCTTAGACGAGGAAGATTGGATTCTCTTCAATATTCAGGGGCAAGGTAAGGAAATAAATTTTTGTATAATAACTATTGTAAGACATCATATCTAATACCTCTAAACGAGGAAGGTTTAATTTATTTGTGCATAAATCAACGATATCGGAAATTTGGCTTTCGGTGCCATCGATTTTATTGATATTTTGTATTAAGGTGGTTTCAGGGGCGATAAAAATGTCGTTTTGTCGTTGTATTTAAAGTCGGGTGCCTTTCATTCTACAGGATGTTCGGGTTAAATACTCGGCTCTTCGGTCTCCAATTTTGATTTTTGTATTTTGCTCTATACTTTTTTCTTTTTTTTTCTAAACAACTATAGAGGTATGTTCTAAAAGGGTCGGTCATCTAGATATTAGTACATTAACTGAAATACGCTTTACTCACGAGAACTATTCGACAGACGACGTGAGTAAGCCAAGCCGTGTTTTAATTAAATGAGGAAAGATGTTAAACTTTTTTGTACGGTCGATATAAAAAACAATAACGGTTTAATAAAATACTTATTTTAGTGATAGTACCAACTCACATCAAACATATAGGTACCTTACCATAATAAGCATTACTAGATAGATACTAATGTTTTCAGTATCAGTCAAAATAAGGTACACAACGTCATTGATTTTTTTATTTTGATTGACATTTTATTTTTATATTTCTACAGGATATTATCGCGTTACTTACGACACGACGCTTTGGGAAAGGATTATTGAAGCTCTTGATGATCCTGACAGGAGGGCGGAAATACATCCTTTGAACCGTGCTACTGTGAGTATTCTGTATTGAGCAGGTTAACCTGAACCTTTTGAACTGGGATTTGCCACACGCCATTCAGGAAAGACTCTTTCATAGAGGACGCTTATAGCCTAGTAGTGGATATTTCTAAGTCTGTGATGTGTGATGTCAAAAGAATGATTACAAAATCAATCCTTTCTAATCATAATTTTTACTTGCAGCTTGTAGACGATGCTCTTAACTTGGCCAGAGCTGGACAGCTGGGCTACGACATAGCATTTGCAGTAGTTCTGACTATGGAACATGAAACTGAATATGCCGTGTGGAAAGCTTTCGTCAGAAATATGAATTTCTTGAAGAAACGATTAGAAGCTTTCGTTTTTGACGATGAAGATTTAGATCCTGATATTTATTTGGTAAGAATAGATGAAGAATACACACAGAAGCAATAAAACCCTGTTTTGCATTAACTTGCGAAATAGGGGTTTAATATATTTTTGTTGTACTAGAGTTTTTGACTGACGTCTTATTTTATATTCATTTCAATTTTTTAAAATTTTCTATTAACGAGCATCTTTACTTACCTGGCATAAAAACAAAACGAAAAGAAATCAGTCCACTGTTTATTTTTGATAGAACAATTAAAGGTAAAGGAAAATTTTCTAATAGCAATTTACATTTATAGGTCTGATTGTTATAATACTGCCTCGTTGGCCGAGTGGTCGCAAGTGCGACTGCCGGGCAAGGGGTCTCGGGTTCGATTCCCGGGTCGGGCAAAGTATTACTGGGTTTTTAAAAATTCTCAGTAGTAGCACGGAGTCTGGAATTGTGCCCGGTATATGGCAATAGGCTCACCCCCTATTACATGGGACTCATAACATAAATAGTGAAAAGTGGGTGTTACATTGTACAGTGGCATAATGTGCACCTCTGCCTACCCCTTCGGGGATAAAAGGCGTGATTTTATGATGATGATGATGATTGTTATAATATTCTGTAGTACCTCATGATACTCTTACGTATAATGGTACTCTTATACTTCTACTATCACTAATAATTTTAATTTGCTTTACAGAGAATGGTCCGGAGAACAATACCAGCAGTTGAAAGAGAACTAACGTTCTACCCTGACACGCCATCTACAAGTGAGTCAGCGATGACCTTATTGACTCGAGGTCTGGTGATGGATCACGCTTGTAGAGCTGGATACAGACCTTGCATCGCTGCAGCTGTCGACTGGTTCTATGATCCTAACAATAACGAAGTCGTGTAAGTGTTACGAAGAATTTATATATAAGTTTAAAATATAAATACTTTTTTATGCTATATTTTTCCGTAGAATATCATCATCATCACCAATATTCTAAATAAAGTACTAAACAAATATTAATTTCTGCCTAGCAGTAAAGACATAAATAATTTTACTTGATTTGATAATGGACAGCCTAGACAACAAACGACTAACCAAAGACTAACTAACACAACTACTGATAGAGGTTACTTATCGGATCTTTTACAATTATATTTTAGGAATCCTAACATCCCTCACGAAATCAGACCAGCAGTATACTGTACTATGGTGAGAGAAGGTGGTGATGAAGTCATAGAAGCCCTATATAACAGGCTGGAAATCGAACCGACCCATTACGAGAGAGTCGTCATTTTGGAGTCTCTAGGATGCTCAAATGATCCCAATTTTATTAATGGGTGAGTAAATATTTAACAACTAACTATGTTGTATAATTTGTTTGTGTCATTATTGTAATAATTGCTAATTATTTATATAACCAATAACATCCCTGTGATTACATTTCAGACTCCTCATGCAAACTATAGCATCAAATAGTCCCTACAGTGTAGAAGAACGAGTTAAGATTTTCGCTGCAGTGGCAGAAAGCAGTTACACGAATGCAGATCTAGCTCGTGATTTCATGAGGTTGAGAGTCAATGAAATCAGAAACATGTACGTATATCTCCAATTGATTGATGGTAATCGTCTCCAAAAAGAGGCGTCCACGAAATATGATTAATATATTGAAATATTTTTGATTGTTCAGGTATGGCGTAGAAAAACTTGAAGAGTTGATATTTGTCCTTGCGGAAAACATGGCGGACAGAGATTTAACTAGAGAAGTAAGTAGAAAAAAAGAAAATGAACATTAACAAATTAAAAATGTAACAAATTTTTGTATTAATTTAGCAAAACTGTCAAATTTCACACTATGACCAAAACTTTGCCAAGCTAAGGTTTCTAGAGGTTAAGTAAGGAAAGTTGATTTTACAGCTGATCTGATAATTTTTTGACAGTGCAAGTCTAAAAACGGTAGATGCCTTTTAACCGATTTTAAAAAAAGGAGGAGGTTCTTAATTCGACCGTATATATGCTTTTTTATGTTTGTTCGCCAATATCTCCGTTGTTTATAAACCGATTTTGATCATTCTTTTTCACTTAAATCGTTTTATGATCATAGTGCTCCACTATAATAATGCCCCCAAAATGAAAATGTATCCAAAATGTTTTGTGGGCAGCATGTATTGCTTAACGAAAGAGAAAGAACTAGTAAAACTTTGAATATGTTTCCTAGTGCTTTTTTAAACAATAAAAAAAATTGTCCACAGTTTGAAATCTGGGTGCAGAGTTCGTTCAATAACCTGGAGGACTCACAAATGGCTGCTGAACGTGCACTGGATTATGTGCAAGAAAACCTTAACTGGGAAGACACATATAGAGATGATGTGTATGAATGGATCGACGAGAACCATGCGCCCACTCTTGTGCTATCACTAGTAGCGCTCTGCGTGTCTATCATGGCGGCAATATTTAATCATTAATAAATATTTTTTTATAACTCATTGAAAAAGACAGAGTCGTAACGTAGGTCCAAAGCAGACTCTTTCAAATTATAAAATTAATTGTAAGTGTAAATGTTAAATTTAAAATTTTATTGTTAAATTAATTAATATATTTTATGATAGGATTACAAAAAAGAACTCTACAATACAAGTTAAGATTTATTATAATTAGAATTATTAATTATTAATAATTCACTTATGACGTAAGTAGGCAAGTTAAGTTTAAGAAAAGTAAGTACATGTATTTATGGTGATGGGTTGAAGAAACTCGATATTATCGTTGTCGATATTATTCGCAGTTTCATAAAGGCTTGGACGAAATTATAAAATAGATCGATTTGCAATATTGACAATTGCATTATCGATTATTTTTAATTCTCGATAAGCCTCTGTGTTATCACATCTTGCTACATATAATGTAATGAGAATGTTTGACAAGAGTATGAAATTTAGGTATACTTTTAATAATTGTTATTAATCGGTTTAATAATAATTTAAGTAATTATAATTTTATTTATTAGTACCAGAATTGCACAAAGTGACTTTAGTTTTAGTAGGTAGACTTAAGATTAACATTTAATCGCAGATATAATAATTTTTGAATTAGACTTTAATAGTTATCTTAGTATGGAGTTAAAGTATAAATTAGATGATGTATTTTAAATTAAACATTTAAATTTAAGAATATTTATAATTTATGACGAATTTGTTCTTGTTAAGTTTAAGTTGTTTTTTACTGCATTTTCACTCATATTTTTAAAATTTAGTTCGTAAATAAATAATAACAAAAACTAAATCTGTGGCAAACGCGTCCTCTTGCCTCAAATTTAGTATTATGTGTAAAAATATTTAATATAAATAGAATTAAGACATCGAATATAAAAATTTAAAAAAAATATTACATTTTAATCAAATTATTTAAATTTATTATTCTTAGTTGCCTTAGATAAATTAATTTAAGAGTTGTTAAGGGAAAATTTGTTTTCAAGTAATAAAATAAATTGTAATATGTACATATTGCAAAAATAAATATATTAGTTAAGAATAATTAAACGTGTTTATTTTGACCTTAGTTGCCTTATTATTTATCTACACTAATAGTAGTATAAAGAGGAAATATGTGACTTTTTGTTTGTTTGTTTGAATAGAATCTCCTCCGAAACTACCGATTTGAAAAATTCTTTTACCGTTGGAATCCTACATTATCGATGCTGAACATAGGCTATATTTAATACGACAGAAAAAAGAAAACCGTATGAAATTTAGATAATGTAACCCGATGTGTGAAAATACTACCAAAAAAACTCCTTACATTGCTTAAGCCTTTGACTGCCAATAGAAAACTGTTTTCAAGGACTAATAATTAGGTGTAATAGTATGTAGCTGCACCAGAATCGAAGATATTAAAGAAAAAATACGAATACAATTAACTGAAAACATGTTATTCATGGACCAGCTTCTGCCCACAGTTTCGCTCGCGCTCTTTTGAGGTATGAAGTATGGAGGGCAGGTTTAGAAAAGATTATAAAGAATTGGTACCCGATGTTTTCCTGGTTACAAATATGATAGAATTTTAACTAATTTTAGGTTTCTTGAAAATTACAAAATGCTCTATACAAACTTCCAGTCCATGTTTTAGGGCAATGGTGTGTTAGAAGGAAACAAAATATCGCCTATGCTACTTTCAATCCTTTCTTCTATCTCTACTCAGTAAAAAAATCACGTCAATTTCTAACAAAACAAACATACGTAAACAAATTTATTTTATTTATTTATTTTTTTTTTCTTTTTGGCGACGGGGTCTCCAATACAGTGTTGTCGACTATACTGCCAGTGTCGTAATAATCCGATAATAACAATCTGCCGTCACCACTCAACTTATAATATTAAGTATACCTTTCTATGTTACCTGACATATTTTTGACAAGAAAGTTTTATGCCAAAGGATTATTGACATATTTGTTTTTTATTATCATGATATAAGATTAGGTATGCAAAGAGGCTGAATACTAATTTTATTAACCATTGAACCTATTTGATTGAAATTCGGTTTAAAGAGACACTGGCACTGGAAAAAAAAATCTCACGGGACAGGAACTATGCGTTAAAATTCCGGGACTTTCTATAACCCCTATACTTATTATACTCTTTGCTTTCTATTGCTTAAACCACGGAACCTATTTGAGTAAAAGTCGGTACAACGATATTTTAAGACTCGGAAAATGACGCCTGATAGTTTTCAACCACTGAACCTATTTGATCGGGATTCAAATGCAGTTTTGATCACTGAAACCTCATGGGAATGGATACTATACGGGTAAAATTCCTGTGGGATTGTTTATTTTTTTTAATCACGAAAATAAACAACATTTCGCAATAAATATGACCTAATTGATTCTGATGAAATTTGTTACACAACATTGCAACTAACCTTGGAAAAGACTAATGAAAAAATCCAAAAATTGCCCAGAAGTTATTATTATACGCGGACGAAGTCGCTAGGAACAGCTAGTTTATTTATAATTTGGAAAACATTACATTAGGTCTTACATCTAAGCACTTACATAATAATAAATTGACTGCTAATATATGTATAATAAAAGACTACCTCGTCGGCCGAGTGGTCGCGCTCGAAATTTTGTTTCATTTAGGTGTTGTATGTCGCCTAGTATATTGTTTTAACATTTAACACAGAATCCCGTGAACGAATTACTTATTTTCGCCAATCTCAATATTGGCTGACTTAACTTGTTTCTTTTTTCTGTTTAGAATTCTTATGTCTAGTTTGATAATGGTATCTGTCCGACATTTTACCAAATAACTGTCGGTTATTTGGTAAAACCTACCTAAATGATGTTTTCGTCGATAAATTGACATGGAACGGTCATGAACTCCTTAAACTTTTCTCTGAAAGAGATTAGCGATGACCTAGGTGTGTATGTGTGTAGCGATGTAATTAATAGCTGGACGTTTCCTCCCGCCCAATCCGAAGCAGGGACCTACCGAAACTTCCGTGTCCGGTAAGCATCTGCGTCAGGCAGTAGTTGAGGACAACAGGCCGTTTCTCAAGCCACTCCTCAAAGAGGGAGTTAGACTTTACGCCACGCAGTAATTTGACGCGGGAGAAAAGTATCGCGGCGATGTGCCTCCGCGCGCAAACAATGTAATCCGATGAACGGGTCTAAAGTCAGTTTTAAGTGTGGAAGAAACATGCTTTAGCACAAATGGGCTAACTTGACCGGAGTGATACCATGGCCTCACAGAAAACCGATGTGAAACAATTCTGTATCGCGCGTGTTTCGTAGTGTGAGTAAGGTTACCGAAGGCCCCCACTATTCTACTACTCCTCCCCCTTCCCCAATCTCCCCAATCCCTGAATCTCCAACAATCCTCAAATTCCTAATCCCTAAAAGGCCGGTAACGCACTTGTAAAGCCTCTGGAGTTTCGTGTGTCCATATGCGACGCCGATTGCTTGCCATCAGGTGATAAAAACTTGAAGTAATCGGAACTGGGTGGCGATGATTATAGTAGACAAATCTTATCTGGACAGAACTTTGATCCCTACTGAATCGAATTAATGACTAATAATTTAACATGTTTTGTCATGTTTACTTAAACAATAGATGCGGAAAATGATTTGATTATTGATAAGAATTTGATGAACATACTAAATTATCATTGCAAAATAAGTATCAGAATCTTAAGCCTCATTTCCTGTTTTTACTGTTATTTTATGTGTGGATTTAAGGTAAATAGCTAATCTTATTAATTATAAAGTTTGTGCGTTTGTCTATTGGTGTGTGTATATGTTTGTCACGTCGGCTGAAGAAATCGGGGTGAAATTTGAAATCGGGGTAGATAATAATCTTGAACAACACATACGCTACTTTTTATACCACGGGAAGGCGTTTGAAGCCGCTGGGAGACGCTAGAAACAATTTATAATGCAGGCACCTGCTTTCTTTTTTAGAATGACGAGCATTTGGATTGCCTGACCTGTTTTTTTTTTAATCTCTATTTAATAAGAAGGGCTTTTTTCCGTAGAGGAAAATGTCAGCCCTATTATAGGATACAAAATTTAATACAAAAAATAAAGCAGCTAAACCTTTTGTAGGTTTAACTATCCTTTAAGCTCAAACACAAAATAATTAAACTATACAATTTTCTAGCGTCAGATGACAATGGTGACGCTAAAACACTGTGTTGGTTGGTGGGTGTTCCCATGAAGACTAATTTGACAAAGAGTAATTATCTTTATACTTAAGACTTTAGGACACATATTGGCTTTTGGATTTACGAGAAATTTGCCGAAATATACCGCGGTCCCGGCTCACAGAAGAAATTGGAAAAAGGTGATTATTGATCAGTAACAGTCTGTTACTCCCTTACACCTTACTTACAAATCAGGACACATATTTATGGTTAGCCCTGTTTCGTTTTCCATCATATTGCATAGTGGTGTAGACCTTAATACTGGTCTTATAATATTGACAAAGTTTGTGAGAGACTGGTTCTACATATGGTTTTGCGTAGTTTAACTGACAATGCAATGATGGAAGTCAGGAATCCAAACTGGGATAACCTGTGCAATGGACTCGTGGCCTTTCCCTCTCAAATATGACTTTCAGATACACCTTATACAATGTGATGCAATAGAAAAAAATGCGATCAGAACTATTTATATATTCCTATCTTCCAAGTTTATCGTAATAATCCTAATTGAGACATTATCGACATTATCATAATTATACTTTTGACGTATTGGCACTAATATATTCTTGTCTTTTTTAAAGAACTATTTAAAGGCAAAATGAACGAATAGACATACTGACGTGTTAGACTCAAAGTGTAGTACTTTATACTCCAACGATATGATTTGGTGCAAGTTAAAGTGGAAGTGTATCATATTTACATTTATAGTCTTATTTAGTGATTTATCAAAATCACTACCTGCTATTAAATCTTCGTCGTTATTAAA